AACATTGCCAAATGCTTGGAGCCTATGAGGGACCATTTTTCAAACCATGATGTTCCATTCCCTAGCCCCCATTGACTCATTACCATAGCATAATGTGAAATATATTTAGTCCAAACTTAAAAGTCCCTATAGTCCTTCTCAGTCTCAATACTATTCATAAGTTCAATGTCTCTTCTGAAACTCAAGGCAATCTCTTAGTTCCTGTAAAATCAAAAGGCATATGAGATGCTTCCAACATACAATGGAATCGAATAAACAATCCCCTTCCAAAGGGGAGAATGAAGGTATAGACAAGAAATATCAGAGCAAAGGAAGATCAAAGCCCAGAAGGAAAAACACCAAATCCTACAGCTCCATGTCTAACTTCTGGGGATTTACTTTCAAAAGGATTAGATGACTCAGCTCCACCAGCTTTGCTTCCTGCAACATACATCTCTTTTTTGGGCTGTTACCACCCTTTGTATACAACTCTCTGTGGCAGATGTCTCACAGCTCTGACATCTCCAGCATCTTGGGGTCACCTTTGCCAACGAGGCTTCATTTTATAGTTTTATGCAATGGCCCCACAAGGCTTATATACCTATCAGGGCCTTCTTCATGCAGGGATTCATTACTGCACACGGTCTGGTCTCTGAAACCATGGAGGGAGGAAGAACTGATGATCTCTCATTGTTGCATCCTTTATGCCTCTAAAGCCAGCACCATGTGGACACTGCCAAGTTTTGCTGTCAGTTTGGGATATACTTTTACCAATTTCAATCATATTGCCAGCAGCTTTTCTATGATGTGGTTTCTTAGGATCTCTAAACACCTCAGGCATTTTCCTTTCACAAGGAATTTTAACTGAGTGGGGTCTCACCATAGGGGTACTCTTTCCATTGCTCAAGTGCAAGTCTGGAGGCTCTCCTTAATGGCTCTAATCTCTTCATCAAAGAGAGCCCCTCCTTCAACATAAGCCTTGGCTCCAATGTTATTCAGCTGCATCGTATTCTCTTTTACTCCATGCTGTACATTAAGTATTTTCTTCTGCTCCATTTGCTCTTTTTCACTCTAATTCTGCATACTATTCATTATTAATAGCCACGCTTCTGAATCAATAGTAGGCTGTCTTGAAATTTCCTCTGTCAAAGAAATCAGTCCACTACATTTCAAATTATCTTCAGGCAAGCTCTTAGGCTTAGGGCAGAAGTCAGGCAGATGCTTTGCTGAAATATCCCAGTTCTGTTTAAGTCCTGGAACTGTTTTTTTCCTGGAACTACACTGCTTTCAGCACTGTTTTCTTCCAGGATCCGACGAAGAGGACCTATTCAGCTCTTTTTCTCTGCAAGTTGCACATTTTGTATTTCTTACTGTCACACTTGTTCTTTTTCATTGTAGGCCTGAATAAGAGTAATAATAATGATAATAATAGTAATAAAGAATTTGCCACAGTCTTAATGTTATGCTCTCTTGAAATTTCCTCTGGCAAAGATATTAGTCATCAATTTATCCTCAGGCAAGTTATTACGATACACGTAGAATGCAACCAGATCCTTTGACAAAATATCACAAATATGCCCTCCAGTCCATGACGAATAGAGACCTGTTCCCCTCTAAAATCCCAAATTCATAGCTCTACTGTTTGCACTAGAACAGCATGCAACTGGTTGTCTACTCCAAACTCTAAAGTCTTCCGCATTCCTCCAATCAAACCGCGTGGTACCATACTGTGTCCACAATTGCACTTTTGGTACCAATTTCTGTTGCTATGATAAAATAATACGGCCCAGAAGTAAACTGAGGAAGACAGACTATTTTCACTTATGGTTTCAGAAGGCTAGAGTCTCAAGTGGTTGAGATGGCAAGGCTGCAGAAGCAGGAAGTTGGCTGTTTATACTTGGTTCAAAAGTAAAAACTAGTGAACGGATATTGAAGTGAGAAGAGGCTATAAACTCTCAAAGTCTGTACCCAGTGATGTGCTTCCTTCTTGAGGTTTTCTTCTTAAAGTTCTATAACCTCCCTATACAACACAATAGCTAGGGATTGATTGTTCTAATACATGGGTCTATGAAGGCAATTTATCATTCAAATCATCACACAAGTAACAGAATTAGTTTAAGTCATTTTCAGTGGATAAATGGAGAAAGTGTGGCATATATACATGATGGAATGTTATTTAGTAATAAAGGAAAAACTCATGTCATTTGCTAAATATTGATGGAAGCGGAGATCTTGAAGCTAAGAAAATAAGTTTGACTTAGATGGACAGACCATGTGTGTTCTCTCATATGAAGTATCTAGGAAACAAAAGGTAACTTGAAAGTGAGGAGAAAAATATTATATTAGAGGAAGGAGAAGAGGTAAATAAGGAAGAGGAGCATATGAGATGGTAATAGGGTGGTAGATATCACCCTAATATGCTACGTGCAGGTATAAAAATGTCAGAAAGGAACCCACTATTCTGCATGATAAAAGTACACTGAGCGTGTTCGTGGCTGCTCCCTCACTCTCATAGAACTTCTTAAAGAGGATTCCATTCATGTGTTGTTTACCACTGACTGAGATAAATAATGCTATAAAACTATTTTAATAACTAAGGAATAATTTTATTCTAATTTAGTAATATGCTCTATACAAATTAACCTTGTTCTTGAGTTAATTTTAAAAATTTATTTTTGTGTATATGAATGTTTTCCTTTCATCTCTCAGCCCCTTTATAGCTAATTTTTATCATCAAGTACTTCAAAGAATATCTGAATCTAAAAAGGACATGCAAAAACATGGATAATAAAAGAAAAATAATAGAAAAAATATATCATATATCAGAAACATCCAGTCACATAATCTGATGTAGTATTCAACATAGCCCCATAAAGTGACCTTTTGTTATAAGGTTGAATCTCTGAGATTATGTTTGATAACGTAGAGACAAGAATAGCATGTTTTTCGCTGGCCATGGCAAATAACTTCCTTCCACATTGTTCAGTTAGGTTCTTCTTGACAGGAACTCTTAATAATCAAGGCCATTTTAAATTATTTTAATTTTAGAAATAGATTTTAGAGCAAACAGAGTTTTACAGACAGCTGGGAAGTTACTCAAATGATCTCACAGTAATGGTAACAGCACACACAAGACCCGTTGAAGCTCCAGTCAGACAAAACACCAGCATAGAACTGAGGAAGTGGGTAAGAAGCCCCAACCTAAACTGAAGAACTATTGGCAACCAATAACTACTGGGAGAAGGGGAGTTAGTTTTTGTTAACGATGTATGATTGGATAGGTTAATCAGGCTCCAGTAGATGGATGCACACAGAAGCACGTTTGGGATACAAACTTGACTGGATAGGCATATATATAATTTTAGAATCTTTCTTGGATATATATATATATATGTGTGTATATATATATATATATATCCTTTTAAACTTTGTATTTTACTTACATTTCAGGGGATAAGTGGAAGTAAGGAGGCAGAGAGGCCTTTTATAAAGTGTAGAATATATCTCAGTACTATCATTAATTATCATCAGACTCTTTTTCGCTGATGATGCTGAGTCTTAGTTCCAACTATGACTTTAAATTATTTTTAACCCTGTAAAAGAAACAATAGAATTTCTATCTGAATAATATGAGTGGGGAGCATGACATCAATGTGGACATCTTATTGTTCAAAGTATCTTTGGGGATGGAAATATAACAGTTTTTTGTTGGGCATACGTAAGGTACAAAGACAATCTATCCATGCTACATCTTCATGGCATCGAGTCCCCCTAGCTTTTAATTTAAGTTTAATTTTATTTTTGTTTTTGAAACAGGGTTTCCCCGTAGCCCCAGCAGGCTTGAAACTCACTATGAAGTCCAAGCTGGCCTGGCTCTCACAGAGATCCACTTGCCTCTGCCTCCCAAGCGCTGGGGCTAAAGTCATGTTCCACAACACCAAGCCTGAGTTTCCTTAATTATATGAGTTTCCCTAGACTTACAACTATTTGTGACAGTATGCCTCTGCTAAAATTCATACTCAACATAAAAATGGAGTTGACTGCAATGTCCACCAATAGAAGTTTCTTTAAATTTTAAAATAGTCTATGGATTATTTTATTTGTGCATATGTGAATCAAAATATTGTAGTTTATTTTGGGGTGTAGCTAGAGTTTTGATTTCAAACTGAGTTTTCAATTTCTGACCCAACAGAAGTCAGATGATTTGTATTGCTAGAGAATAATTACTCACTCTGGTACTTGAAATCCTAAACTGGCTGTTAGTTTGCTGAGCTATGACCATGAATGAAGGTCAACCCTAAGCTGATGGTTCTGTGGAAATTGTAAAAAATAGGTGTCATAGAAGGCTTTCAGAGGCCAGAGTTTTCTCTACTTGTATATTAGTGTTATATGCATTTAAATGAAAAACTTAACCTACAGCTTTGAAAGCTACAAAATATTAAGTTGATGATCTTTAATTTGTGTTATTAATTTATTTAAGTGTAATCACCAAAAATGTTCTTGGCATATTTCCCAGGTTTCCTAAAATACACACAGAGAAATTTTTAGAAAACAGTTTGGACAGAAGAAGGAAACTTAATGCATCCTTCAAAAGTTAGGAAATAGTCTGGAGACCTTGTCATGCAATTGAGGCATTTCTAAGCCATTTCTAAATCATAGCCTCTACAGTCACCTTGCTGGCAATCATGTTTTGTTACTGATATAAGCATATCTCCCTTCACAGCATCCTATTGATACTTCTCAAACTTTTCTTCTGAGTAAACTCCTATGTTCAAAGTTAATCTCTGTGTAATATTTTTTCTGAGAGACCTCAACCTGATTAATCAAGTAGAGCTGCTAGTCCTAAATATATAACAATTGATGCATTTTCATTTTTCAAGGGAGCAGAATCAACGCATTAATGCTCTGTAGGAAGAATAGATATATGATTCAATGAGATAAATGACATGTGCAATTGGCATGGTAAGTAACATATGGGACTTTGTGGATGCACAACTTGAGAGCTCCAAATCCCGAGCTGGTCAGCAAAATCTTCCATAGCAGGTTCGTTTGCATAGTCTTTGTATTGCTATCTTTATATCTTTGTTCCTTAATGTATAGATGATAGGATTCAGGGCAGGAGTAATAGCAAAGTCAGCAATAAACAGGTATTTGTCAACTGATGATGTGGGGAAAGGCCACACATAGAGAAACATGCATGGAGTGAAAAAAAGAACCACCACTGTGATGTGAGCTGACAGAGTGACGAGTGCCTTTGATAAGTCCCCTGAAGAACGTTTCCAGACTGTGACCAAAATGAAGACATAGGAAAGGAGAAGCAGGAAGAAGGTGCCCATGCTCATGAAGCCGCTGTTGGCAGCAACAACAAACTCAAACTTAGCTTCATCTGTGCATGCAAGTTTTATGATCCGAGGGAAGTCACAGTAAAAGCTGTCTACTTGATTAGGACCACAAAAAGGCAAGTTTATAACAAAAGAAAACTGAGACATGGCATGGATCACTCCTGTTACCCAGCCAATGATTACAAAGGAAACACATATTTTAGGGCTCATGATGCTCAAGTAGTGCAGAGGCTTACAGATGGCTGTGTACCTGTCAAAAGCCATGGCTATGAGCAGCACCATCTCCACTCCCCCCATGATGTGGATGAAGCATATCTGTGTCATGCAACCTTGGAAAGAGATTACTCTGTATTCTTTTAAAAGATCTGAGACCATCTTTGGAATTGTGGTAGAGGAAACCCAGACATCATTCAAGGACAGGTTGGCCAGCAAGAAATACATAGGTAAATGTAACTGAGAGTCAGCACTTACTAAAATGACAATAAAAAGGTTTCCCAGAATGATCCCTAAGTAGAGTAAGGAGAATGTCAACATGAGAAAAACTTTAGTTTCCCACGTACTAGAAAGTCCTAGAAGCACAAACTCAGAAACCACTGAGTTATTTAGTTGATCCATTGATTTGAGCAGTTTTCAAATTACTTGAGAGTAGGCAATGATAAAAAATAGCCAGTTGTATTAAAGGATATTTCCTGCTTATGGGGCTTGCTTATTCTGTGAATTGAAAATCAAGAGAAAACACTGAATTGACTAGAAAAAGAATAAATGAATGAATACAACATAATAAAGTGATAAGGGCTGTACACAGATGCATATACACAGTAATGAATATGTTAGAAGGATATAAATGGGGCTTCCTTATCTTCATTTTCTGGCCAGTCTCACTTTTCTCCTCTCCCACTTTCCCATTTCCCAATCACTATGCTGTATTCATATTGACTATTTAAAAATTTCCACCATGTGGGACAGCATTACTATTTTCTGAATCTTGCATTTCTTTAAACAAAATGTGCTGCTTTTTCATGCAATGTGCTGCAAGTGGCACAATTTCATTATTTTTATGGCTATATATCATTGTGCTATGTTTGACTACTCATGTAAGCTACTGTGATTAGTACTACAATAAATATAAACAAGCATATATCTCTGGATATTTACATTAGTAAGAGATCTGAATCACTTGGCAATTCTATTTTTAACCTTTTGCGGAACACTTATGATTCAATATACCGACTCATTTAAGAATATCACCAATAGTATATAAAAGTGCTGTTTTGTTTGTCTCTTAATGGGTATATCTTACCTTTCTGTTTTTGATAATAGCTCTTCTAATTGGGGTGATGTGGTGATTTCTTACAGTTTTGAAGTGTTGTTACTCTGATGACTAATGATATTGAACATTTCTTCATCTATTGTTTGGGAATATGTATTTACTTCCTTCAGTGTCTGGACATTCATTCTCCTTTGCCCATTTTAAAAATTCAGATTGCTTATTTTATTTTTTAGCATTTTGAAGATGAACAGTTGGTGCATACTTTATCCCATTCTGTGGACTGTTTTTCACTTTGGTACATTTTCCTTTTGTGATACAGATGCATTTTTTTTTTTGTATCTCATCTGCCTGTTTTTGATGTTTTCTCCTGTACTTTTATAGTACTCTCCAAAACTGTGACTGCCAATATTTTAAATTATTTTCCTGTTTTCTCTTTCTAGTATCTTCGTGGCTCATGTCTTATAAGTAGGTATGCTTTACTTTTTACTGTACAGTTTCCCATGGTGGTTACTTGCTCACAGTGAGGTTATTTTTAGCATTTCATCTCATGGCATGTTTTTATTATGTTTCTATTTGGACATCAATATTCAATGGCTGTAAAAGTGAGCACATGTTAATAATTTGACATTACATAAATATTGTCATCAATGAATAGCATTATTATACATTTCTTTTATACAAAGATTTGTCCTAAGCTCATTAAATATTTTAAAGCATGTAAAATTCTGTATATTTTCAATATTATTAAATTAGACATAGAAGTTTAAAAATGGAGTTACAGGTAGATAATGTGTCAGGTCCAGTGTAATAGGACACAGCATTCAATGATCTTGTCCATGGAACAATGCTATTAAGATTGTCCTTCAAGGGCCAGGCATGGTGGCAAATGCCTTTAAACTCAGCCCTTGGAAGGCAAAGGCAGGCAGATCTCTTGGGTTCCAGGCCAGCCTGGTCTACATAGTGAATTCCAGGCCAGCTAGGGCTACCCTGTACCCTGTCTCCCTAGACCTTGTGTGTAGATAGATGATAGACAGATAGATAGATAGATAGATAGATAGATAGATAGATAGATAGATAGATGATAGATAGATTGTCCTTCAAATATACTGTGGAACTTGTTTACACATTTTCTGATGATGCATCCTTCAATTGTTATGTCTTTACCTATCAATAGTATAAACTCTTAAAATAAAATCTCTGAATTATATGTCCCCTCTCTCTTCCCCAACCATTTGTAGGTTGTAGGCCTCACTGTTTATTAATTCAATAACTCATTCAACATCATTGCCATAGATGCCTTGTTTATTGAAATAAACTATATTCTGAATATTTTATATAAAAATCAGTTTTTGGTCATTATTATATTTCTCTACAGGATTAAGTCTTCTTTTTCCTGGTTGGTTTCTGTATCCTCTAAAGCATTTGGCTTCTTAGCTTTAAAATGGTCTTAGAAGTGAAAGTGCCACTTTTACATCATGCTATTTTCTGAAACCCTCAAGTTTTGAAGAGTGCAGCCTTATCATAGATCAGAAACTTGAGGTCTGATTTTTCTAAACCAGTTGTTATATTTTCTTTTTCTTGGTTATTTTTTCATTGAAAATTGACCCACACCAGTATTTTTTCTGAAAGGTTTTCCTTCTTAATGGAAAAAAAACCTTTCATATGGCTATTATCTTGGCCTTAGTTTCAGTCATTTAGTTAATGCTATTTTTATTGCTAAGAGCTCAGCAACTCTGATATCCTCTAGCAGTAGAAATCTTTAAAGTTCCCAACACCCAGTGTACATAAAGAGTAACTTAATAAAAGCAAATAATATTCTTTGTCAAAATTTCTTCTAGTAATGTGAAAAACTAAACTCTAATTTGTCTGATTCACCATAAACCAGGTTTTCTGTTGATTGTAGCTGAATGTAGTCTGAACATTTCTTACCAGTTCTCCCCTAAAATTTTCTCCAATACTTCCTACTTCTCAGTATTATGTAATGATGCTTTCTCTTCTTCCTACTCTTAATACTCGGTGTGGCTCAGCCTAGGTCTGGCCTACTTGTTTTATTGAGCACCATGATCCTTAGAAATATGTAGCCCTACCTTGGGATCCAGAGTAATACATCTGATATTAAATGTGGTATACTTATAAACAAGTCTCTCCTTGACCTTCTGATTAACCTGTGAAAACTGATTTCATAATCTTATAGTCTAAGCAAAACTACTGATGCATATTTTTACCATTCCCCAAGATGCACAAAATAGACCTATCACTCCCTTCTGTCCTTGCCATATTTTCTCCAGGTGTATGACATTTTCTTTCAAATATTCCATTTTCTTCTTCTTCATACCAACTGTCATTTTCTCTTGTTTTCATTTTCTGTATTTTCCCATATTGGAATTGAAAAGAAGTAGCTTCATTTTCTTTCATGTTCTATTCACTCTTTATGTATTTCCAGAGTAAAATCAAATAGCACTGCTTGGCTCTCCTAAAGACCTTCTTGATGAATCTATCACAAGAATTCTTTTAATCAGTTCCAGAGCATATCACATAAGAACCAAAGAAGACATTCATACAATTAGATTCCAGAGGATATATCCAAAACTAATGTCATTTATTTATTTATTATATATTTGCAGCACTTGAAATTGAACACAGAGCTTTGTATAAGTTCGGCAAGTATTCTATATCTCAGCTGGATCTGCAGCCCTTCTGTGAACTTGATGAGTTAATTTGTTTAACAACAGCTACTGTATAAATTTAAATAGCAAGTATTGACAATATATTGATAAAATAGCAAGAATTGTGAAACACTGTAGCAGGATTATTATATTTAAGTCAACAGAATCTGATTACATAAGCAACATTAAATGAAGAATGGAAGGATGGACGCCTGCTAGCACTGCATTTAACAATATGCTCTAAGTAAAATTAATAATTCATTTCTCCTCAGGAGAAAGAAACAAAGAATCATTTGAAGATTATAGAGTGATCTTCCTCAAGAAGTTTAGTTAAGTATATGGGAAATATTCATCATATCATTATCACTTAAAATACATAAAATATAATTTAATAAAAGATATGACGTGTGAATGAAATAAATGTGCAAACTATACATTCACTTGAAAATGTAAACATTTGAAATATATTTGAAAATAGAATAAAATGTGAGATCCAAACATGCTAATGCGCTGAAATGAAAAAACTGAAAATTATACAATAGGCATTGCCTCTGAAAAAAATCTAGCAATAATGGCAATAGTGTATTCTGTCCAAGGAACCTAATGAGTTGTTATCAGAGGATTCAACTGCCCATTTTGAAACAGAGTAATTTTGAGTCTAAATGAATTAAACTATTGTTAATAAATAAATTAAAAGTGGAAAGAACCCAGTAAGAATTAGATATTTATTAGGGCATTTAAAATAAGATAAGTGATTCATTACAATTATATTAGAACATGAAACATTAATAAAAACCATAGTATTCACTGGTTGTTATTAATGTCAGCCATTATTGAAACGATGAAATTATTATGATCTTACTACATAGCTTATGACTGAACACCTTTGGATGATTAGCAGGCTCTAAATTATAGCATGTTATAGAATATACATAATTTAATAATTTTTCAAATATTTATTTTTATTAATGAGTCTGTATCTACGTATGTCATACGTATGTGGGTGCCTGTGGAGGTCAGAAGAAGGTCCAGAGCCCATGGAGTTGGAATTAGAGGTGATTGTGAACTACCAGATGTGTGTACTAGGAACAAAACTCCAGTTCTCTGGAAAAGCAAGTGCTCTTAACAACTGAGCCATCTTTCCAGCCCCACAAATTAATTTTTTTATTTTTGTGACTGTCATGCATAAGTACAATTTTTGCATTATTTCCATCCCTCCCACTCCTCTCCAACTCCTCCCATTTTAAACTTGAGACTAAAAGACCCTTTTTTTTTCTTTATGTATATGAGTAAATTGCCTGCATGTATGTAAGTGCATCCATGTCATGCAATGACCGGGCATCAAATCCCCTGGAACTGGAGTTATAGATGATTGTTAGCTGCCATGTGGGTGCTGGGAATCAAATCCAGGTCTGCTGCAGGAGCACTCAGTGTTCTTAACTGCTGAGCCATCTCTCCAGCCCCCATGAAATCTTTTTTTTTATTGAAATGTGTGTTTTATACACAGCATCTCAATCATCTTTATAACCCATTCCCCATCGGCTCTCTCCCATAAACCCTGCCCTTCCCAGTGGATTTCATACATTCTGTCATTTATGTTAAGGCCTATGGAGTCAAGTAAGAAGCTTTTTTAAAATTCAGAAGTTCAGAAACTAGGTTCAAGTTTATATTACAATACT